CAAGAGCTTGTAACACTCCAAAGAGAAAGGAAAAATTGAAATCGCATCATATGACCCCTTTAAACTCTTCAGATCAAGTTTCAAATCTTTACTAACTGTAAAAAAAAAATGGTGTACAAACATGTCATAGTTCACCCAGAAAAGCCTATTTTAGACCTATATTATAGGACCATACAAGTTTTTTTTTTTTTTGCATTGTGACATTTTCATGACAATAAAGCCATTTATTTTTTTTGGGGGGGACCAGAAAGACAATTCGCATTTCGAGACATGGGACTCATGACATTTCTGTTGTTTTTGTGCATAGCTATTTTGGGATTCATCACAAGTAATATATATCGTAAAATATGGTCTGTGGTTATCGTTACTTGTCGAGGGGGGGGGGGTGGGATTCATGAGTAATATATGGTAAAATATGATCTGTGGTTAACATTACTTGTTGAGACTTTCACATTTTGTTCTGCAAAATAAATTGCAGTCATGCATCCAATTCACTTTTGAGCTATGGCTGTAATTTATGGTGTAGAACAAAACAAAAAGAAATTCCTGAGGGAACCCATGACAACAGTCTTCCCTTGGAGAATTTAGATGGAAATGGATGTGCTTTGTCAATTTGTCAGTGAATTTGGATGTGCTTTGTCATTAAGACTAATAGCATTTTGCTATGATTGGCATCAAAGTGAGCATCAGGCCCAACGCCGTTTTGAGTGAACAAGAACAAATGAGGAAGGAAGGGAGGTGTTCGGTTAATAATGACTTTAATGTTGGTCTGTTTCTCACACAATTTGCATACAACAACTTCCTGTTTGTAAAGACTACTTTCATGATGTTTTTGCCATTTATGGAGCTTAACAGATGGAGTCAACATGAGCTTTTGCGTTCGTCATACGGGTTTGGAACGGAATGAGGCTGTGTAAAGAATGTTTTGTTTTTTCACTATACCTTTAAGAAAATTAAAGTAATGATTTCCAGAATATAAACAAAGCTCCTACACTTTCTCTGCTCAAAATATGAGACAACAAAAAAACATTCCACAGCTCCAAGACAGAATGCCTGTTTTCCACACAAAACTAAACTCCACCCCAGCAGTGAGCTCATTGGTTCTTCGTTGTAAGAAGGAACGCATAAGCCAATAAGGAACGAGCGTCGCTGGTCTCTGCTCCAATCAGATTCAGCGTGCAAGTGCCAACCTCCCGCCCACTGCCTTTACTGCTACACACCTGTCAGCGCAGCCAGGAGAAGTGGAGAGTTTGGACCTGCTTCTGAACTTTGCGTCCACTTTGATTCAGAGTTTTACAGGGAACGACAGGCTCGTACGCGCACAGTAGGTTAAGAGGAAGCGAAGTGTAATAATAATAACTCGGCTTTTCGCATGAACACGTTTTCAGTTCTCGTTCTGGAGTTTATTATTGTGTCTCGTGCGCAAAAACGCACTAAGTGCAACAGTAACTCCAGACCTCAGCCTGACTCTAACAGTGTCCCTCGGATGGAGTGATCAGACGAGAGCAACGTCATTCTCCTCTTCAAGACACAGCAGAAGTCCTTCATCATCATCATCATCATCAAGTCACTTTGTTTTGAGCAAGATGACGATGTACCTTTTCTACAAAAAATGAACTATTAACTACTTCAAAAAATGATGAATAAAGAATGCGCATAAGTAAGTTACTGTGCATTTAATCGTTACATATTCCTTCATTGTTGTATAGTACTACAATATTTTGTACATACTGCTTTGCTAATTCTATGTAAAAACTCACTGACATGCCCCAAACTTGGAAACTCAGGGCTTAAAGATAGTTTCTTGTAATTATGACTTTGTGGTAGTGTTCACATACATACAGTCTTTCCGACATGACTTGAATGTACCATAACTTCATACTACTTGCTGAATTAAACATGCAACGTCATGTGACAACAATGTAGCACATTGTTTTTGGAGACATTTATAATGGCATTGTGTTTTACAGTACATACTAAGTAGGTACTATACAGTTATTAAGCTGGTATTCCATTCTGAATGGGTTTCATTGTGTTACCAATTGTTCACAAGTGTTTAATTGTGCAAGTTCAGCAAAGAATTTCAAGAAACATTCACATTTTTACATCCCGTTCTTATATGAGTAAACTACTATTGTCTAAACGGTTCTGGCCAGGCAGGCTGTACCTATTAAGTCGGACAGCTCTCGATCTCCCGTCCTCATGGAGTGCCTGATGCTTGTGTAGATTTGCATTTGAAACGCTTCTCCTTCACACAAAGACCTTGCAGCTGCCTCGCTGCAATCTGCAAGTGAATGTAGTGTAGCCGTTCCCCAACAAGTGCATTGAGAAAAGGTGTGTGTACTGGGCGTGTGTGTGTGTTAATGTACAGTATGTTTCTGTAAAAAGAACAGTAGTTAATTGAGTTATTTCGTTTTATGGCCATGTAAGTCTTTCTTTCTTTCTTTCTTTCTTTCTTTTTCTTTCTTTGTAAGAAAGAACCATACATTCTGTCATCCAACCATAAATTCAGTGTATTTCAGAATGATACAAAATGTTCATAGCGTATGAACCACAGACCACTTTATGAACCATTTTGTGAACTATCATATATTTTCTTTGTATTGCACTGCTCCCTGGACTTGATTCTGATTGGTCAATAGTGGCATTTGACATTTATATCTCATAATAATGACGCTAAGCTGCATAATCGACCAATGTCCCAGTCAGTTGATTTCCTACACAGCTGTGCAATTTTATGCTATAGCTTTTATGCTATTTTAATAACATTAGTCAAAATTTAGAGGAATACTGTATCCCACAATGCAATGCTTCCAACTTGACCTTCCATTTCGAGTGTGATAGATGAACTGGAAGTGACTTCAGTTTTGACCCTTCTGTTTGTTGATTTCTTTTTTGATCAGTGTGCCAAACCTTCATATATTTTGTATTATTTAAAAATATTACAAAATTGATTTTTTTTTTTTTCCAAGGTGCGTTCAAATCCTCCTGGGATGTTTGTTTTACAAGTTGGGAAGTCGTAATTACGACGTCAGTTGTGTTCAAGTCACTTTGTTTTGAGCAAGATGACGATGTACCTTTTCTACAAAAAATGAACTATTAACTACTTCAAAAAATGATGAATAAAGAATGCGCATAAGTAAGTTACTGTGCATTTAATCGTTACATATTCCTTCATTGTTGTATAGTACTACAATATTTTGTACATACTGCTTTGCTAATTCTATGTAAAAACTCACTGACATGCCCCAAACTTGGAAACTCAGGGCTTAAAGATAGTTTCTTGTAATTATGACTTTGTGGTAGTGTTCACATACATACAGTCTTTCCTTCATGACTTGAATGTACCATAACTTCATACTACTTGCTGAATTAAACATGCAACGTCATGTGACAACAATGTAGCACATTGTTTTTGGAGACGTTTTACAGTACATACTAAGTAGGTACTATACAGTTATTAAGCTGGTATTCCATTCTGAA